CCTAGCCCAGTTGAAAATGATTACACTAGAATTTGAGTCGGTTACAAAGGGCTGAATCGCCTTCAAGGATGATCAGATTACAACTAGTAATTGTTCGATAGGAGTTTGGTGTTAGACCCGGCGTCACTTGGAAGTTCGAGTATTAGTTGGTAGTCTGGCCTTGAACAGAACTTCGGGCCTTGAGCAGAACGTTGGGCATTCGGCAGAACGTCGGGCCTTGAGCAGAAGGTTGGGCCTTGAGTAGAGCGTCGGGCCTTGAGCAGAGCGTCGGATCTTGAGCAGAATATCGGGCCTTGAGCAGAGCGTCGGGCCTTCAGCAGAACGTTAGGCCTTGAGAAGAATGTCGGGCCTTGAGCAGAGCGTCGGGCCTTCAGTAGAACGTCGGGCCAAAACGTCAGGCCTTTAGGAGAATGTCAAGCCTAGCAGAATGTCGGGCCTTGAGCAGAGCGTCGGGCCTTCAGCAGAATGTCGGGCCAGAACATCGGGCCTTGAGGTGTTGATGCGGCGAAGCTCTGGCGGTGGTCCGGTGAGGCTCCGACGGTGGTCCGGCGAAGTTCCGGCAGTGGTCCGGCGAGGGTGAAGATCTCAGGTGGTGGTCCGACGAGGCTCCGACTGTGGTCCGGCGGTGGTCGAGGAGGTGCTTCCTCCTTCTCTTCCCCTCTTTTCTTCTTGCTTGGACCCCCCTTTGTGAAGAATGAGGGCTCTATTTTTACTTTTTCTGGAGTGGCATAGCTCGTAAATAGGCGTGAGATCAGGGGCGAATAGGGGAGTGGTTGAATGGACGACTGATATCGAATCCTACGATCGTGCACCGTTTGTTGGACATTTGAAGGTCCTAGAGATGTCGGAATTCGACGATCTTGGGCTCGTTGGATTCGTCTCGTCGAGCCGTTCGATTCGAGTATAAGCTCGTTAAAATCGAAGATCGTTTGGTATCTCAAATTGCGGTTTGAACCTTCCAACAATGCTTCGGGTCCATGATTCGGACCCATTTGGGATCGGATCGAGTTGAATTTGGTGTCGTTGGGTTTGTATTTCTGAGACGCTCAGTTCGACTATAAGTTTGCTGAAATCGGAGTTCGGATGGTCTCCGAATTAATTTTTGAAGTTTCTAATTTGATTTTGCATCGAGATTCGTGCCCTATCAAGATAATTTTTTTACCATGTATCAGGTCTTATTATGCATGTTGTGCTGTTGTTTGTACTTTATTTTTTATAAATAAAATAGGGAAACACCTTCAAATTTCTCCCAAAAAAAAAAAAACCTTATTTTCCACATAATAGTATAATACTATAATAGAACTACGCATAGGTTCTCAAATTTTCCCCAAAAAAAAAAAAAAAACTGTACAATATTTTCTTACTATTTTATTATTTCCCAAATTAGCCTAAATATTCCTAACATATTAACAAAATCATACTAAATTAAGCAAATTATTCCCTCTCCTTTAAATTAACCGCGCGTCCCGCCCTCCCTGGCGCCTCTTCCGCTTTCCCTTCCACCGCACCTTCCTCTCTTCCCCCTTCTTTAACCTACACGATCTCCGTCCTTCCTCGTTCCTCCAACCCCAAATTCCCACCACCTCTTACTAAAAATGTCGCCGGATGTCAGCGGCACCAACGGCGGCGACTTCCTCCTCTCCCCAACGGCGCCTCCGTCCACCTTCAACTTCCTCGAGCTAACCCTAATATCCGCCCAAGACCTCTTCCCCTCTTCCCGCTCCCTCCACACCTACGCCGTGACTTGGCTCCACCCCTCCCACCGCCTCCGCACCCGTCTCGACTCCATCGGCCACACTTCCCCCACCTGGAACGACAAATTCCTCTTCCGCATCGACGATTCCACTCTCTGTTCCGACACATCCGCCATCCAAATCAACATCTACGCTGCCCGCCCTCGTTTCCTTCCCGGCCCCGATACTCTCCTCGGCACCACCCGCGCCATTCTCAGTACCCTTCACCTCTCCCCTTCCACCCGATTCTTCGCCCTCCAAGTCCGCCGCCCAACTTCCCTCCGTCCGCAGGGTATCCTCAACATCGGCATCGGCATCGCCGATCCCTACGTTTGTAGCCTCCCGCTCTACGCCAATCTCCGCACCTCCGCTTTCGCCTACCACGATCTAATGGCAGCCGCCATGTCCGCTAAGCCGAGGAAGAAGGACGGTTTAAAGGGACTCGTCGCCGCCGCTCAGCCACGGCTTCCGCAACCTCAGCCTCAGCCTGCGGCTCTGGATAGAAACGGGTCGGTGGGCGGGTCGGGGGAGAAGGAGCGAGTTGTTTTGGAAAAGAAGCTGAAGAAGTGGAGATCGGAGATTTGGGCCGTGGAGGATCAGATGGGATGGGAGAAAGGGGGGCAATCGCCGGCGGCAACTGATGATGAAGGGGGGTCCAGAAGGGCAAAGCCGAGGAGGCCTAGGGCGATGTCTTGCTTTAATCTTGCTGCGCAATATGCGGGTGAGAATGAAGAAGATGATAACAGTAGCACGAGTAGCTGGAGCAGCAGTAGCCAGCGGTGATTGAATGACTTGTAAGGCCTGCAATTCTTCGTTTCTTTCCTTTCTCGTGTGGTGTATGTCATATACTTATTCTATTTCTGCCTCTTTTTCAACCATTTTTTTTTCATAAAAATAAATATGGGAGATTTACTT